CTGTTGAGGGGTAAGTGTGATCCCCAGGACCTGGGCATCCTTGGGACTGAGGCTAATCTCTGGTGGTGGACTTTGTTTGGGAGTGGGAGTAATTCTCAGAACCTGGTCCTGCTCAGGAGTCAGGCTGACCCTTTGTTCCTTGCCTGGCTCAGGGGTAAAAGTGACTCCCAAGGCTTCAGTCTGTTGGAGAGTAGGAACAATCCCCAGGACCTGGGCTTGCTCAGGGGTGAGTGTTATCCCCAGGGCCTGGGCCTGCTCAGTGGTCAAACTGACCCTCTGAGTCTTGACCTGCTCAGGGGTGAGTGTTATCCCCAGGGCCTTGGCCTGCTCAGTGGTCAGATTGACCTTCTGAGTATTGACCTGCTCAGGGGTGAGAGTCATCCCTAGAGCCTGGCCTTGCTGAGGGGTCAGACTGATCCCCTGGGCCTTGACCTGCTGAGGAGTGAGAGTAAGCCCCAGGGCTTGGGCCTCCTCTAGGGTGATGGTGATCTGGTGTGCTTGTACCAGCTGAGAGACGACCATGTGTCCCTGCGCTTGGGTCAGCTCGGGGGTGAGGGCTATCCCCAGGGCCTGGGCCTGTTCAGGGCTGAGATTAATCCTTTGTGCTTGGACCTGCTGGGGGGTGAGAGAGACCCCCAGGACCTGGGCCTGTTGAGGGGTCAGACTGACCCTCTGTGCCTTTGTCTGCTCAGGAGTGAGAGTGAGCCCCAGGTCCTGGGCCTGCCAAGAGGTGAGGGTGATCCCTAGGGTCTGGGCCTGTTGAGGGGTCAGGCTGATCTTCTGGGCCTTGGTCTGCTCAGGAGTGAGGGTGATCCCTAGGGTCTGGGCCTGTTGAAGGGTCAGGCTAATCCTCTGGGCCTTGCCTTGCTCAGGGGTAAGAGTGATGCCCAGAGCCTGGGCCTGCTCAGGAGTGAGAGAGATTCCTTGGGCCAGGACCTCCTGAGAGGTGAGAGTAATGTCTTTTGCTTGGATCTGCTGGAGGGGTAGAACTGCTCTTTGGGTAGTTGTGACCCCAGATATCTGTACTTGTTCAGCAGTTGTTTGGGGGATTTGCATTTGCTCTGGTTTTTGTGATGCTGGAGACTCCCTTGGAGTGGATGTCTGCTCGAGGATGCCAGGAACTGTCAGCTGAGACTCTAATTCTTGTTCCTGTTCCACTATGAGAGGAGCGCTCTGTGCTTTTTTCACGTGTTCATGACTAGGAGGACCACTCGGAGCCTGTGGCATTGAAACCGAAGATATCTGGGCCAACTTGGGGACAGGCATTGGGTGGGGCTGTGCAAAGCCAAGGAGGGTCCTGGAAGATGGGGGCTGCCTCTCCTCGGGGTGCTCCATCGCGTCAGGATCCGCGTGTGATAACTGCATTTGACTTGTCACGGGTTTCAGGACTTTCATCCACCTGGGTGTTAGCACCACTGCACTCTGGGTGAATATCTTTGACAGCTCTTTAGCCGGGGACTCGGTCTTCAAGAGTTCTTTCCACTTGCTCCCTTTCACCCACTGGCCGTCTTCTGCGTCTCTCCCAGCCTTCAGCTTCTCCTTGTCGGTCTCCTGAAGCTGGCTCGCCTCTGGCC